TGTAAGGATATATTAGTAATATAGACAAGATGACATGGTCAAAATAGCAAGATCTCACGCGCATGCACGTGCGCTGCAATCTGATTGGCTAGCACTAAAGTCTCAATATCTTTCTTGTTTTTTGACGAAATCCTTTGAAATTTTGAACATAGCCATGCATTAGGATATCCTACAACATGATATATAGAAATTATCATGAAAACACGTGCATGCACGTGCGCTGCAATCTGATTGGCTGAAACTTGAAATGGCCATATCTCCTTTGTTTTTTGACGAAAAGCTTTGAAATTTAAAACAAAGTCATGCATTAGAATATCCTACAATATGATATAGAGAAATTTTCATAAAATCACGCGATTGCACGTGCGCTGCAATCTGATTGGCTGAAACTTTAAATGGCTATATCTCCTTTGTTTTTTGAAGAAATGGTTTAAAATTTAAAGCATAGTCATGCATTAGGATATCCTACAATATGGCAGAAAAAAAAATCATGAAATCACGCGATTGCACGTGTGCTGCAATCTGATTGGCTGAAACTTTAAATGGCTATATCTTCTTTGTTTTTTGACGAAATGGTTTGAAATTTAAAACATAGTCATGCATTAAGATACCCTTCAATATGGCATTGAAAAATTTTCATGAAATCACGCGATTGCACGTGTGCTGCAATCTAATTGGCTGAAACTTTAAATGGCTATAACTCCCTTGGTTTTCATCCAAACAGGATGGGATTTAGAACATAGATAGATATAAGGGACTCCTACAAGAAGGTATGATCATCTTGCACATGCACACAGTTTGTCTTTTTTAATGAAGCTTACAGGGAATATGGCACCAAAAGGGAGTTGGGGAGCGTTTGGGGAACATCTGTAACGGTCTCCGTTACAATTAGCACTAGTTATTATTATTTTTCTTCTTCTTCCTGGGTACTTTTTTGTCCGGGAATGATCTTGTAAACTGTTCGTCCGATGTAGGTAAAACCTTTTTAGGGTCAGTAGACATGTTATGTAGATTTGCGGAATCAAGGTCATTTTGCGCGCACGTGCTTGCAAGAGCGCGCACGTGCAACACGTGAAATGACCAATATAATGGATATTGCCGTAACTTTTCTATTTTTTGATGAAATTTTTTGAAACTCATAATGTAAGGATACATTAGTAGTAAGCACAAGCTGGCATGGTCAAAATAGCAAGAACTCACGCGCATGCACGTGCGCTTTGCTCTGATTGGCTGAAACTAAAGTCTCAATATCTTTCTTGTTTCTTGTCATAATCCTTTGAAATTTTGAACGTAGTCCTACATTATGAAGATCTACAGCATGATATATAAAAATATTCATGAAAGCTTGCGCATGCGCGTGTGCTGCAATCTGATTGGCTGAAACTTTAAATGGCTATATCTCCTTTGTATTTTGACGAAATGCTTTAAAATTTAAAACATAGTCATGCATTAGGATACCCTACAAGATGATATAGAAAAAAATTCATGAAATTACGCGCATGCACGTGTGCTGCAATCTGATTGGCTGAAACTTGAAATGGCTATAACTCCCTTGTTTTTCAACCAAACGGGATGGGATTTAGAATACTGATAGATATAAGGGACTCCTACAAGAAAGTATGGTGATCATGCTCGTGCACGCATGTGCGTGCATTTCGAACGAGTTAAATTAAAAAAATACTTGAATGAGTGATTTTTAATACTTTTGGACTGAATGCTTTGATATATAGTATATTAAAATATATAGATAGTGTAGACAAGATGATATGGTCATATCGCACATGTATTCACATGTGCACAGGTGCAATGGTAAAATTTGAATACAATTGGTATCCTTCTGGGAAAACGTTGTTAAAGTCATATATGCACAAAGTTTGTCTTATTTAATGAAGCTTACAGGGAATATGGCACCAAAAGGGAGTTGGGGAGCGTTTGGGGAACATCTGTAACGGTTCCCGTTACAATTAGCACTAGTTATTTATGTTACTTTATATGAATGCATTTCCGCCATTTCACGTGTATCTTGTATTTTATTTTTTGTATATATTGTACATATTTTGTTGAACCTCATGTACCATTGATATGGTTTGAGTGAATAAATTGAACTTGAACTTGAAAGCCTTGATGAAATGTAATGACCGAGTGATACGCACGGGTTAATATTAAACAAGTATATTTTATTTGATAATTACATCGCACGTCTATACAGCTGTACTAGATGGCAAAATAAATTGTTAGCTATAGAATTTTATTTAACAATTAATTAATAAGCTTTGAAAACATCAACAACAACAGCTATGAGTTTGTAATTAATCCATATACCCGCATAATTATAAAGACAGTTTACATCTCGAATATATCAATTACTGCCTTTGTGCTTGTACGGAAAGATAATTAAATAGATTTAAAGAATCTTATCACAGGTTACAGTAAAATTTCAATTTATCCTTATAAATCTTTTTTTAAGAATTATTCACTGTATGTTGAATTCTTTTTTTTT